TACTAGCTTTCATTCTTTGTAAAACCCGCAACAAACTCCATGCCACATTTCTCAATTTTCAAAAAATCGTAGCGTGAAGCTAATAACCCACCGGGGGCTGGGACTAGCCAGATCTATTTGTGCGCGCGCAATTGCGCGCGCCAAATTTGGAGACAACAGGAAGTAACCCAAAGTTTGGCGAATATATTTCGTTATAGGTCCTGAAGCTCCTATATTTACAAGACTGGGAAACAATTTATGAGTCTCCCTGCTTACGCAAGCGAGACTTAATATGATTTGAAAGGCAGCCAAGAAATAATAATTACATCACCGCAAACTGCATCATGTCCAGATGGATGTTACTAAGAGTTTAGCTCTTTTTACGAATGATATCATTGGTTTGTGAGCATTCGTTCTTCCTTTATAATTATCAAATCTTAACTTTGATTCTGCTTTTCAATTCTACATGACTTAGATACATGTATTAGACTACAAAAATGTCATTTTTACATAATCGAAAAATTTACATTTTTTCAAAGTTTGGTCAAAAATTCGAAATTTCTTTCGAGTCTGTTTTTCTTTAACCTGCTGGGAAAGGGAGTTTTAGGCGCGAGAGAAACGCGAGGGGGCGCGCGTGGTCTCGCGCCCTAATTCCCTTCCCCTTCCTTTTCGAACGCCTGCCACGCAGGCTAGTTTTTCTTTGAAAACGGCCTAAACACGTATTTTTATGATGTTGTTTATAGAAAAGGAAGCTTTTTAGACTATAAAAATGTCATTTTCATATAGACGAAAAATTTGTGTAATGTGATTGTATATGAAAAAGATTCTAAAAAGCCTTCTTTCTAAAAGAAGGCTTTTTAGACTTTAAAAACGTCATTTTCACATAGTCGGAAAAATTCCATTTTTCCAAAGGGGTTAACCCATGATTTTGGGCAAAAATTTAAAGTTTCTTTCGTGTCTGCTTTCCTTTGAGAAAGGCCTAGATATGTATTTTTATAATTTTTTTTTTCATAAAAAAGAAGTCTTTTTTAGCTATAAAAATGCCATTCTCAGATAGTCGAAAAATTTGCACTTTTAGCTATTTTTCATTTTTCCAAAGGTTTCCCTTGATTTTGGTCAAAAATTTGAAATTTCGTTTCAGTTTGCTTTTCTTTTAAAAAAATGCCTTGACATGTATTTTTATGATGTTGTAGATAAAAAGCGTGCTTTTTAGCCTTTCAGATAGTCAAAAATGTGCATTTCCCCCATGATTTCGGTCAAAAATTCGAAATTTCTTTCGAATCTGCTTTTCTTTGAAAAAGGCCTAGATATGAATTTTTACGGTTTTGTTTATAAAAAAAGGCTTTCTAGACTATAACGTGATTTTGTAACGAACGCCTAAAGAACGTCTGCGTGGGAGGGTTATTAAAATCCGCCATTTTAAGGGACATTTGCGCATGACTTTTCAAAGTAATCCGCTAAAGCAAAGTACCTCACATTCATAAATCATTTGATAGAAAAAGGGGAGAAATGATGGTTTGACGAACGCCTAAGAACGTCTGCGTGGGAGGCTACAGGCAGAAAGGTTATCAGAATTGATGAAATGATCCCTAAAGAGAAAATATGCTTTGATCTTTTAACAAATTATCTCAACCAATTTTTCAAGAAATGTATGGAGGCCAGTCTGGAGAATTTGTATGTTGATCGAGGTGCTTAAAGGGTCAAGACATGAGAAGCAAACTCTCACCTTCTTCCATGCTCCAGACGTAGTTAATCGATAAAAAGCGATATCGGAAATCACTCGATATCATCGATATCAATCGATTTAATCCACCGATTGATAGCGGAAATCACTCGATATCATCGATATTAGTCGATTTAATCCACCGATTAATATCGTTTGATATCGGAAATCGATAGAAATCGAAGTCAGAAAAAATAATTATTGTCGATTGACAAAATCGATAACAATCGATAGGAATCGATAAAAAATCGTTATCGATTTCTATCGGAAAATCATCGATAGTCATCGAAGTCACAACTTTTTTTCTTTATCGATTTCCACCGATTGATATCGGAAATCGATATAAATCATCGATTACTATCGATACGTCTGGCATGCTGTCCTCCCCACTCGGGAACAGAAGGCCAAATTGTCCAAGTGCCCAACTACCCCTCGCAGAAATTAGACGATCAGATTATAAGGTTTTCCAGGATTTCGCAGCTGGAATATTCAAAGGACACCAGAGTTCACTTCTCCTCAGAGGTGGAGCTTTCGCAACTCAGTAGGGAGATGATTGGTCCTATGCTTGTGAGTTTTCCACCTGAGATCTGGTAACTAGAGGGGCTTTGTCTCGCTGTTTGCTATCTCTTTAAAAAGCTTAAACCTGTCTTTGTATCACTAGAATTCCAAAAACAAGGGTACACATTTGTTATAAGGCTATATTTAGGTAATGAAACTGTTTCCTGTTCCTGTTAACTATGGATGGCAAGGATGGACATGGACTTGATAAAGTTGAGCCAACATTTTCAAGTTAATTTTAACTTATGGTATGCCTTCAAAAATCACCAAACAAAATTTTGTAGTTAGTGCTACCTGATGAAATTTGTTTGATATATCACGTCATAACTCTACAGGGGCATTTTGTGTTTGGGTAAAGGGTTCATTATACGTTTCCGGGAAACTGCCCACCTACCCCTCCCCTAGGCCAACATTTTGCCTTAAGTGAGAAGTAAGTGTTAATGCTGGCTTAGGGGAGGGGTAGGTGGACAGTTTCCAAGGAACGTTAAATGAAAAAGAACATGACACCCTAAAAACTCTTTTAGACAAGAGTAGCCGATAAGCTAGTAAAACAACAAAAGGATCAGTGTTACAGTTTTATTTGCACTGTCGCTTTATTTTTATAAAATATATTTTCCCGTTACTCTTTCCTATTTCATATAAAAGGATATACTAATTTGTTTAAATTACAGAATGACGTGTTCACATGGAGATCAAAATTCACTTCCTTCAAATGAAAACAAGAAGAAAAAGAAATCTAATCTAGTTGTAAATTGCTACCTTTGTTTTAATCATGTGTTAATTTTCAAACACTCTAAAAGAAAATGAGCTAGAAAACGCGTTTCGATGAAAAGAAACTAAATCAACGCCTTCTTGTGAAGTAGAATTTATGCATGGTAGAACCGGTCGGGGAACAACTCGCAAGTACTGCAAAAATATCGCCGTTTATTATATGGAGGAGAGTGTTTTACTGGGAACTAAACCACTCGTAGATTCGATACGCCACTTCATCCGGGACCTGAGTCGCGTATTTTCCGTATGTCACCTTTGTGAGTGTCGTATCGTTCAATGACGTCACGATTCCCGCCTTTTGCTTTTGTTGAATTGGTTTCTCCATATAATAAAAAGAACATTACACGTTGGCTCGAAGATATGAATTTTATGTTCTCGTGGCGAGAACAATATCTTGTTCTTGCCACTCGAACATAAAATTCATATCTTCTAGCCACCGTGTAATATCCTCTATCTATTAAGCCAAAACCGTCCTAAACGATTGTTGTCGGGAAATTCCGTAATGCTGTAAGAGTTCCCGAATCTTCCGAATCTTATTAACTGATCAGAAGAGGAATTATGCAATTTGTTAGACTAGTGAATATCACAAAAAGAGATTGTTCCCCGCCATGATCAAACTCCAAAATAACAAAACACAGCAGCCACAAGATAATGGCTGACTGTGGCTGGGTGCTTGTGATGCCTGATGCCTGCCCTTTTTGCTACGGTGTCAACCTATCTGTTGAACGTGAACAGCCCACCACCAAACCTTACAAAATCCAGAAGAGCCAACATGCATTCTCATTCAGTTATCATACTGACTGTTTCTTTACAATTGTTCAAGTGCTTCCTAGATGTCTGTAAATCTAGGATACACAAATTACATACTAAGCCAGTGCTCAATTCAAACTGACTGTTCTTTTGCTCCTGTTGTGATTTTGGTCAACACAAGTTCCTTGAGCTGTATAGCGTTTCTTGATGTTCTAAATAAAAAAAGAAACCTTTTTAGAACACAAAATTGGAACTTTTTAAAAGGCCAAAAATCGCAATTTTCAAAAGGGGTTAACCCGCGACTTGTGTCAAAAAAATTAAAATGTTTCTTTTTTCGATTAAAAAAGCTTGAAAATAGAGTTTCTTGATGTTCTACCTAAAAAAAGAAACCTTTTAGAGAACTTTTCATAAGGCCAAAAATTACAATTTTCCAAACGAGTTAACCCACGATTTTGGTAAAAAAATTCAAATTTTTTCTTTATTTGTTTTTCGCCAAAAATAAGCTTAAACATAGAGTTTCTTGATGTTCAGAAATAAAAAGGAAACTTTTTTAGTCCACTAAAATGGAAAATTTTCATAAGGCTCAAATTTGCAATTTTCCAAAGGGGTTAATCCACGATTTAATCTTAAAAATAGAGTTTCTTCATGTTCTAAATAAAAAGGAAACATTTTTAGACCCCAAAAATGCTCACTTTTCATAAGGCCAAACATCGCAATTCTCCAAAGGGGTTAACCCACGATTTTGGTAAAAAAAAATTGCAAAAAGTTGTAATTGATTTTTCGTAAAATACGCTTAAAAAGAGTGTTTTCATATTCTAAACAAAAAACAAACCTTTTTAGTCACAAAATGGGATCTTTTCATCAGGCCAAAGTTCGCAGTTTTCCTAAGGGTCTAACCCACGATTTGGTAAAAAATATCTAAAAGTTTTCTTTGTTTGTTTTTTGCCAAAACTAACTTTAAAATATAATTTCTTGATGTCCTAAATACAAAGGAAACCTTTTTAGGCTACAAAAATAGGAACTTTTCATAAGGTAAAAAATCGCTATTTTCCAAAGGGGGTAACCCACGATTTTGGTCCAAAAAATTCCAAAAAGTATTTGCTTTTTCTCAAAATTCGCTGAAAAAAGAGTTTCTTTAGTGGGGAGGAGCGTTGCGTGACGACATCGTAGAACGAACACATAATTTTCTTACACGAAGTACATAGTGAGGTTTACCAACATGGCGGCCTCGAAGCTCGAAATCAATTTCCGCCGTCTTTTGGAACGCTGCGAAGTGATGGCCTCAGAAATCCATGAGAATAAAGAAAACGTAAGCTGGAGGTTGGAAAAAGTGAGTTATAGCATTCATCAAAAAATTGTTTTCTACTGTTACCTCTCTAGGATTTGAACAAACACTGAAGAAACTGTCGACCCCAGCTGTCTGGTCGGGTTTGTAACAATTTTTCACCGTTTTTCTACTTCATATTGCAGTATGTTTTAACGTTACAGAGGCAAGCCGCCGAACTAAAAAAGTCAGAAAGGTTAGTTTTAAATGCAGAGTAATAAGATAAAAGTTAAACGAGCAATACGTCATTGTAAAATAGTGATTTTAAATAATAAGCTTAAAACAGCTGATACAGGTAGTCTTTACTCTGACGGGTCTTAATGTCGGGTCGATTGTATTTAGTATTAATATTTTAGTCATCACAATAGAGCTTTTTTATCAGTACCTGACCCAGTTAAATAACGGAGAAAAAAGTCTTTTCATATTAAAGGAAAAAATTCAACGTATTGGTATACCGACAATGGACATAGCTAGTTCATTGTTTAATTTTGGTACCCCGATATGGCGGACTGAAGTAGACATCTCCCTTTGGTAGCAGGCAGCGGTTGGCTGGCCTGAGCTAAATTTAAGTTGTCTAGCAGTATACAACATTCTGAAAGGCAGATGACTTGTGTCTCTAACGTACTGTAGGTATCAGTGGTCACGGATGTAGATAATAGCCGGGAGCTGGGAAAAATACCCGGCTGTCAAAATTATTTTTCCAGCTGAAAAAAATGCAGTCTTTAAAAAGGCAACTGTTTTCTTCTCATGCTATCTGCCCATCAAATGCCATTTTCCATCAGTTATAAATTTAAGCTACATCCCTGGTGGTTGGCTGGTATCAGCTTCCGAGTTTCACTTTTTTGTCACTCCGTAACTAAACTTTCTTCAATTCAAAGCAAAGATTCACATGGTGAAAAAACCTGTAATGAAGATACTGGTGGTTTTTTAATTTTTCGCATCACCAATAAGTCTAGCTAGCATTTCAGGTCATGCTTCTTATGATTAAAAAAGCGTACCTTTTCAAAAACTGGGAAATCAAAATATTTTGGTTCCATCAGCTTGTTGAGTCACATGCAAGATAGATTTTTGGAAATAATCAAAACTTTAAATATTAATTATTTTTTTGTCTTGTTACAGCAAACCAAGTCCAGACGCAATGACTGAATACAGCAAGAAAGTAGAGTTCCTTAAAGGTTTAATAGAAACACAGAAAATGGTGAGACGGGGATCAATGTTTTGAAATTTTAAGATGGGCATCTGTTGTTGCATTCAAATAAGAAAAAATATTGTTGTAGAAACAACTAGGAAATGCTTGTCATCAGAGAATATATCACAAATAATATTGTATATCATTTGTATGTTAAGTATTTTACCGTTGGTTGCATCTAAGCGTGGACACGAGACAAAAAAACATGTTCTGATAGGGTGCTTATTGCTAGACATCACGTGTTTTGCCGCCAAACATTTGAAGTTTGACAGCCGTTAAAGCAAACTGTCACGCCAAAGGTAGGTTGTTTATATGTTTTGGTCGGCGTGTTCCACTCACATTTCTTTTTTCTCAACTTTCAGGCATATTTCTCGCTCAGAAACAACGCACTTGCCCGCAGAAATAAAAATTATTCTTTACGTCAAAAAATTCTTGGAAAGAAGATTTTGTTGAGTGAAAACAAATCAAGTCGACAACAGCTGCCTACTCCAAACTTCACATGTTTGGTGGCAAAACATGTCATGTTTGCACCCAATTAGAACATTTGTTTTTCCTCATGCGTACACACTTAGATGCAACCAACAGTAAATTTCCATCTTTTTCTTTTGTTTATATAATTATTTATACTTTTAGAAAAAAAGACGGTCATAATCATTATTCCACATTTGTAAATAGATGTACCGGTACTACACCATAATTATATCTGCATGTATTTACTAAATTCTATTATGATAAATGGTAACAGTAATAATATTAAATAGTTTTCATTGTGATAGTAGAAAAAGTGTGATGAGGTATCCGGAATTAGACCCTCTAGATGACCCTGATGAAATGTCAAATTCTCTCTTTGATTCATAGGCAAGCACTGGACAATTTAAAATAACAATCTAGCACTGAGTTGATCTTACATGCAAGGGTTGATTTCCACTGTCATGTAATTTTTCCGTGCAAACGCATGTAAAATTTACTCGCGTAAATGAAGTAGAGGCAATGTACGAAAGGCCACACATAAACATGAAAGTTGAGCGAGGTTCAACTTTTACGTTACAGGTGACTCCTTCCATACATTGTCTTTGTTTTACTTACATGCTTAAAACTTACATGCGCATGCACATAAAAATTACACAACAGTGGAAATCCACCATTAGTCATAAGGGGAAAATCCAGGCACCCTTCAATTTCTACTGGCTCCGAAAATACCTTGATAATTTAGGTTTGTTAGAAGCACTCAAATTCTCTTTTCTAAGGGGTTTGTTCCCTTTAAATTTCTATTGTAGTTGAATACAAGTGTAGATCCATGTAAAATAAGAGTTACCTTCACTTTGTTTTGTAGAAATCACCAACAGAAAAACTTCTCGCCAGTCGGCAGTTAGTGCGTCCACTGAGTCAAACATCCAATGCACAGACCACAGAGGTGGACAAAGGACGAACAGTAAACAGAGCACAAGAACTTCATATCAGGGCCAAGTCACAGATTAATAAAGAGATGAGAAGTGAACTTCTGGGAGAAGGTGAGAATAATGCAGCTTAATTTCACTTCTGATATAATGCACTTGTAGGTTAGTTTATTTCACATTTATTTTTGTTGATTTTTTGTAAGGATCATGCACATTATTGGCTTACATTCCTCGACACATTACAAAGGTTTTCTTAGGCCAATATTTTCACAAAACTAAGGACTTTCAAGGCACCTTACCACGGCACATTCATTTTGGCTTGTTTTTGGGCCTTCTGAGACATGAAATACTTTGGTTTTTAAAAGTAAATTGAATAATAAATTTAATTAATTTATTAGTGTTAAACGTTAACAAGGAACCTTGCTTATTTTTCAGACAATAAGAAAGACAGTCATGGAGTGCGAAACAGGTAACTGATTATAATTATTTCACTTGCATATTACTAGTTTGGTCCCTTAGTCGCTGTAACAAATAACTCTTTATTTTCAAATCCCCCATTATCACTCTGCTTGCTCCCAATGCAAAACTTGGCATAAACTATAGTCTTCAAATGCTCCCGGAAGAACTGTGTAGTTCCAAGGGCTTTTGAGAACAAAAACTTTATTTAGGCACAAAGCCTCAATCGGTGATAAAATTGTGGAGACATTGTACTCAAAATTATGTGGAAACTCCAAAAATAAAAGTCAGTGGAAAAAAATCCCTGATAGCAAGTCAGTATGACTTTTTAAGTCTGAACTGGTGTCAACTTAATATTTTCTGCATCATGAATTGTTGGTTAGTGTTGAACAATCTGCCTTTTATAGCCTGTGTTCCAGCTCCTTCCCACACATTTTCTAAACCCTCAGAGTGTGTTCCATTTGAATGATCCAAATAAGGATCAGTGACTTGTGATCACTCAGAATATAGCACATCAAAGGACTCAATGAATCAACCCTGGGAAAGGATTCATCAGTTCACTTGATGTACTATTGCATGGTTTCAAATCGAGAGGTGCTGGATATGAGTCGGTTTATCATGGGCTAAACAACACAAGACCTATATAGTCAGAAAGAGCGAATTAGCAACATTCTCAAGTTTGGTGTTTACCGGGCCTATATTGAACGATATAAATAGATGTACGGACAATGTGACCGGCAATCCATACATGTACATCTCTTATAAAAGTGATTTTCAAGTTTACAGATAGCTGTATCTTGTTCGATATTGGCGCGATCGACACCAAACTTCACATATTTCATAACCTCAATGTGCTTTTTCTGACCACCTGGATCTCGTGTTGTTTATCCCATAATAAACCGACCTATACCCAGCCCCTCTTGATTTGAAACTAGGCAATGGCTGAGTGATCTCTGACCTGGATCATCCCAAAGGAACTCACCCTTAGTCTATACATGCTGTACATGTAGTGTCTGCCATGCAGGCTACTTGTTTTTGACAATCTTTTTTCTTGAAGATTAACAGGCAACAAGAAAAGTGATGCAAATGATGAAAGCATTGACTCAGTTCTACAATACCATCAGAACTTACAAGAAAATATAGCAGATGAAATGATAAAAATGGCTCAGCATATAAAACATACATCTGTCATGGCCAGCAACATTATTAAAGAAGATAACAAGGTTACTAGGATGTTTGTCCTTTAATAACAGTAAATACAGTCAACTCTCTCTAAGATGAACACTTTTGGGACCGGCACCAAGTATCCGTCTTAGAGAGGTGTCCGTCTTATAGAGAGTCAAATAAAGGGAGTAAAAAAAAGGCAGGCACCAACTCTAGGTGTCCATTACATTTACAGAGGTATCCGTCTTATAGAGGTGCCCGTTAAGAGAAAGTCGACTGTAACAAATTATTGGATGAGGTAGTTTCCTGACATCTGAAACAGACTAGGTCAAGTAAATGTTATTGGCTGAAGCTGACAACTCTTACTGAGACTTTGATTATTGCGAATACCATATTTCTTTAATAATAGCCATCCCTGAATTAATCGCCTCCCTTGAATAATTGCCCCCCTTTGACAGAAATGTTTAAAATAATCGCCTCCCCCACCTCTATTGGTTACCCACTAGGGATAGTGATTGTGGGACTTGGAGGATGGAGCTTTAAAGTGGAGTCTGATTCAGCAAAACTGATCAGTGATGATTCAAGCTCTGATGCCACAGAAATTGACAGCAAAAATTAATCAAGGAACCAAATTTGGAACACTTTAAATGCCAATGTTCTTTTATCTGATGTGATTATTTTTTTATTAAATGAGAAAATAGAACAAATATTTAGGGCACGACTTCTAGTCAGCAATATTTGAAGTAGTCACCTCCCTCGAATAATTGCCCCCTTTTGGTGCAAAAAAAGAAAATCGCCCCCAGCTATTATTTGAAGAAATACGGTATCCCAAAATCCAGATCCAATAAGAAAATGTTTTATTATACACGGTTGTGAAGAAATAGTGTTATGATAAACACATTGTCCTTGAATACCAAGCTTTGTGCACACAATTTGAAGGCTGTCATAAATATGATCAGCTACCAAGGTGACCCCTGGCCTACTGTTATAAATTTAATAGAATAAAAATAGAACCAAATGAAATCTGTACCTGTTTGATTCCCTGCCTGCTTGTTTCCTGCAACTTGAAATCTTAGTGACAGCCATGTAAATTTGTATCACTAAGTTTCTTTACTATTGTAGAGATGAATTACCCAAATTTTAGGCAAAACCACCGCCAAGAATGCAACAAGTCCACTTTTGGTTGACATGCATTATTCAAAACAAAGGTTGTTAATGTGAACTTAAGTAAAGGCTTTAAACTGGCTCATGTAAAGGATAATGCCTGACCCCTAAGGCCTTGTTAAAAATAATGACGGAGCGCCCGGGGTCATTATTTTTAACAAGGCCTTGGGCCAAGGGGTATTATTTAATGTACTTTTCCACTGTTTTAGAACCAGCAAGTCATAATTACGATCTCCAGTTCCACCCCAGTGACCTGGGCTTTAATTTATTGAAAATAATAACTAATGTTCAAAACAATAGAAAGGTGCATTAATAACAAGGAAGGCGTATTTGCAAATTGGTCGATTTAGAAAGGCTCTATGTACAGACACCAGAGATAAACTTTGAAAAACTTACTGTTCAATTTTGTGTTTTGTTTTTTAGACCTTGGAGCAGTCAACAAAGCTTGCAGATTCAAATTTTGAGAAACTAAAACGGGAATCAGAAAGACTTGAGGAATTAACACAGACACCATGTTCCTGGTGGATTTGGATTATGATAATTACAGTCTGTATTGTCTTTATGTGGATGATTATATTTATTAGACTTTTCCCAAAGAAGTGATATAGTGATAACCTTAAAGTAGAACTCTTCAAACAAAAACGGTTCCAAGAATGTACAAAGATTACAATATTATTTGAAAATAATTTGCAATAAAACAAAGATGAAGAAGACTGTCTCAGCTTACTGTGTTTAATTTATCAAGAGCTAAAATTCTTCTGGCCCCAGTTGTTCGAAAGGTGGATAAATCTAATCCAGTGGATAACGCAATAATTATTGGTTTCCCTAATACTTATCCGCTGGATAGAGATTTATCTGTTGGATAGCACTTTCGAATGTTTGAACGACCACGGATAGGGAACCACTTACGGTATTTATTCAAATAAGCGCCCACCCTCGAATTAGCGCCCGCCTCGAATAACCGCCCATCCTAAAGGCTGGAAAAGTTAATAAGCGTCCAGCCTCGAATAAGCGCCCACCCCCTCTTCTTCCTTCTTAAACTCAAATAAGCACCCACCCTACCCCCACCCTACCCCCCTTCCCTTTCCCACCCCGAAAGCAAAAAAATGAATAAGTACTAATAAGAGACTTCCCTGAAGACAGAGTTTTCTTCAAAGTATTTTAGAGAAACCTTGCATTGTTACATCTTCGCGTTTTGTTTGTTATCACCATTTATTGTTTTGTGGCAAAATAAACATACTACACTTGCTGAAAATTTAATAAGCACCCACCTCTAATAAGCGCCCAGTCTCAAATTTAATAAACGCCCAGGGCGGTTAATAGAATAAATATGGTAATTTAACTGTCAATGCATTCAGCATGAAAGTACTAATAGGGGACCCTATTTTTATATTTCCTGCTGGAGACAAGACTGCTTTGCCATTTTACGTGGTCATCAGAGCCACACAAAGGTCTAGCCATTTGAAGGGCAAAGGTGGTACCTTCAGTTCTCAATTCTCAGTTATTTTTAATCCCTGGTTATTGGTCAGTGGACCTGAGAATCAAACCTGTGAACTCCCCCCCTGCAGTCAAGCGCTCTAAAAACTACCGTACTTTCTTGAATAATAGCCGTCCCTCAATTAATCACCTCCCTCAAGTACTTAAAAAAATCGCCTCCTTTGTTTCAATATTCACACTGTTTTTCTCGATTTCTAGAAGGGCGATAACTCTACACATGCTTTCTATGAAGTGCATGCAAGAATGGCTGAATAAATTGAGATTGCCCAGTACCATCTGAAGTTGATGTTTAAAAAGACTACTATATTGATACAGCCCTCACAGCGTTATTCACACAGTTAAATGCACATCAACAAATTTTAGAATTTATTTACACTGTTGACCTTAACTACGTTGTCCACTGAAAGTATTAAATAGAATACCCAGCCAATTCACATTACAGTTTCAAATAGGGAATGCAAGTTGCACATCCCATTTCTAATTTCAATACGCGTCCTTCTTATTCGCTAAGAAACTGAAAGCTGGGGAAAGAAATTACTTGTAAATGACAAAATCACAGCTTTGTGTCAAACACATAGAGACGTCCCCCAAGCAACAACAACAATTCACAACAAAAATAAACTTTACAGTTGCTTGTTTTCTCCCCACGTATTGCATTTTCATTTCCATTTATTACTCGATCTGAGCGTGCACTTGCGTTCTTTACTCGCTCTGTTTTCTCTGGGTGAAGTTTATAGTATTTGTCTGAATTAAACTTATTTTAAGGGTTGCTAAACATTGAATTCCCTTTAGGGAGGTTGTATCTCTATGTACAGAAGTGGAATAAGAAGAAGATCCAGTGTAATAACATGATTAAGATAAGCTGTCAAACTCACATGACGTTCACCTAAAAAGCAAGGGTCTCATGTGTAAATACGAAGTTAAATCACACTTAAATAGATCCTACAAAAGATTAACTACAATTTCCACTCGGCTTCCAAAGAAAACGGCTAAAAATGAAAAAACAATAAGAGAGTCAAAAGAGTATTAAGCTTCAGTCTCAGTTAAAATTGTTGGGACACTTACTGTCTTCTTGCCGTCCCAATGTTGGTGTGCAAGATTTGGTGAGTTAACTGCGATAAACAACATTGGGAGGACGAGGAGACAGGCAAAAACTGAAAAAAACGGCGTTGGGTGGAAGTGTCCCAATTATTTTTGTTGAGACTGTAGTTATAAACTATTTCCCTTTTTCATTTAGGCTATGTTCACACTTTTCCGATAGCTCTTGCGACAACACGAAAAACCACATGTTCACACATAACACTGATTTGGCAAACTTGGAAGTGGATTTTCATATATCGGGTAAGTTTCTGGGACAAACCTCAACAGCACTTGATTGAATAGGTTGTTTCCCTAACAATATTATCTGCTGGATATCGCGGAATTATCCAGTAGATAGTAGAAAGCGATATGCATATCTTTTCAGTTGGGCCTATGAAGTGGGAGAAAAACTGAAAAAAACTTTCTTGACAATGTCAATGAATACAGCACTGAGAGACAAGAACGCAAAACCTTTTATGCTAGAATTCCCTGACTAAGGGGCTGTTTACATGAAGGGAGGAACATCCTAGTACCAGGAAGATCCTAGAAGACAGATCATCCTTGCGCCATATGCCTTTTTCTGTATTCGGCTTACATGCAAAGGGTTGTACTTGTTCCTAGAGCTGGGATCTTCCTAGTACTAGGATCTTCCTAGCTGATCCGAGCACCATGTAAACTGCCTTCGCTAGGAAGATCCTAGTACTAAGGAAAAAAAAACAGACAAAAATAGCGGTGGGTCGTTTAGTGGCTAATCACGGCAATAAAGGCCGACCACTTCGTTTGGCGTTACCACGAGCTGATTATTGTGATAATTGTACTGAAAGGAAGTTGTTAACGCCAGTAAAGAGAGCAGAAGGGCCCAAATTGTATGTTTGTTTTTGTCGCCCGCCATTTTTAATTCCTTCTCAAACATTCTATATTTGGCTAACACACGGACCAAAATTTTTGCATGTAAACCCAACGTAAAGTTGATCCACCTTCTAGGATCTTCCTTCCTCGATGTAAAGAGCCTCTAATTGGGCATTATACTGATGAACAGTTTTTTGTTAGATATATTCAGAACCAGCAACTTGCCGTCTGTCCCTTCGAATCCTTTTCTTTTTAAGCCACACTTTTACTTTGTCCTTATCTATTACTCTAAACGTCTAAAAGTCGACTTTCCATGCGACGCCTGTCTACAATGTAATGACGCTTTTGAACCTTATTTTACTCTCCATAGAAAGTTACAGCGAGCTCAAATGTGGATAATGATCGGTATTTTAACCGAAGTTTGCTGAAGTCATATATACGACAATTGCTTGTAGTGCAACGGTTGTTGACTTGTAATCTCACTGTTTTCAGGGAGGAGCAATTCATCATTAAATAGTCACACAAAAATGGTAACCAGTCTTCACTTACTTCACGGCGGATGTTGACTGTCAGATTGAGTTCAGTTAATGAGGTGTTTTCTGGGAAATCACAATCACGTCTACCTCGAGAAAGCCTGCCATGCTGTTGACCGTCACTGTAGTCATTTAGTGTCAGAGTGAGTGTAGTTAACGACTTGTTTTGCGCTATACAACATTTCAGAGAGGCTACCCACAATTCACAGCTCGAGAATTCGTAATCACTGACAATAACAGTGAGGGACGCTATTGAATTGTTCACTGAGAGTGGTCCAATGAAAATCGCTTCCAAGTCAACATAAGTACGGGTGATGTGGTTAATCGTAATGACCAGCTCCTTTAAAGATGAGGTATATGCCAGTCCAAACGCGAGACCTTCTTGCCAACTCACACGTTTTTCTATTGAATCGATCAAGAGAGTGGCATCGTAAGGACTATCTGTGTAGTCGTTGCTTGTAAGGCAGAGTTTTGTAAGTGAATTGCATTCATCCAAACATTTTCTCAGAAATTTACCCCAAAAGTCAGTTAACTTACTACCGTTGATTACGACGGAAAGTGTAGACAAGGACTTCACCACCATCAAATCTTCTCCAAATTTCACCCCTCCGCCACGATCGTCAATTGAGAGACTAAGTGTAGTTAATGACGCCATTTTAGCCAAGCTGTTGACCAGCGTGCATTCCCAGCCTTCTGCCATGTTACTGTAGTTGCTGATTGTAAGACTTAAGACTGTTAATGAAGAACTCCGCAGCAAACTATCCCCGAGGTATTTCCAAATTCCTGGATTCATTGTGTAGTTGCTCACTGTAAGATCCAGCGTGGTTAGCGATGTGCTTTCCGCCAAAGCATCACCTAGCAGACGTGGCCAGTCACTAATTACTGTATCGTCGTTAATTATTTTAAGAGTGATCCTCTCCTTCCTGGTATTCTTAACTTCAGAGAACATTGGTGTCAGCGATGCAGCATTGTCGATACAGACATCAAGAGCATTACACGCTTCCTTAGGAACAACAGAGACGCCATGCTCTTTTACTTGAACAGTTACGTTTTTATCTGATAGTTCCTGAAGTAGGGTTCCTGTCCCCGGGGCCAACTCTCCCCAAATATCGATTGTTACGGAGGACAGTGTATTTTGTCGTCCGATGTATCTTTTAATAATATTAGCAACACCATCACTTAAATTTCCATGTACTTTCAAAGTCAGGCTTGTCAGGAGGACAGGCACCAAGATCTCGCATAAAGCTTCTGCTCCACTACACTTCAGCTCTCCCCAAAGATTTACAGTAAAGTGTTGTTTTGTTTCTAGCCCCTTCTCGACCACAGCAGGACAAAAATGCGCCACTTGATTACATTTAACACTGCTGCCTGGGTCTGGATAAAAAGTACACACTTAAAATTAAAGTGTAATGTTACAAAGGAAAATTTGTAATACTACACTTTTTAACGAGTAAAGCGTTACACAGAATTTTCAGTGTTGTGTTACGCTTTATGTCGGGTAATTTTACGCAAACTTTAGTGTAAAAGAGGTGGTACTCTTAACATGATAATATTACACAGTTAAAGGTATACTTTTACAATTTTTTCTATTGTAACATTACACGCAGGGTACGGTGTACATTTTACCCGTTTTTACAGCGTAAATGTATACCATAGTAAAGGTAATTTTACACTAATAAACTTATAGAATTAAACACACCTATTGGTGTTAGAGTATACTAATAACACAGAGTAATATTACACTATTTGTAGTGTTGTGTTACTCGTTTTTTCGGGTACTTTAACACCAACTAAAAGTGTTAAAATTGAAGTGTATTGTTACAAAAGAAAAATTATAAAGTTACACTTTTTATGGTGTAAAACACTACACAGAAATTATGGCGTGGTGATACTCGTTATTTTGAGTATTTTTACACCACGTTCAGCTGAAACAAAAGGTATTTTTAACATTTACTTATAGGGTAAATGTATACCACAGAGGGGGTAATTATGCACTCACATGTGCACTTACCGTATTTATTCGAATAAGCGCCCAACCTCGAATTAGCGCCCACCTCGAATAAGCGCCCATCCTAAAGGCAGAAAAAGTTAATAAGCGCCCAGCCTCGAATAAGCGCCCACCCCCTCCTCCTCCCAGTCAAACTCAAATAAGCGCTCACCCTCACTCCACCCACTTGAGTGAATAAATTTTAATAAGAGACTTTCCCGAGAACGGAGTTTTCTTCAGAGTATTTTACAGAAACCTTGCTTCGTTACTTCTTCGCGTTTTGTTATTAGCATTTATTGTTTTGTTGCAAAATAAACATACTTCATTTGCTGAAATTGCTGAAAATTTAATAAGCGCCCAGCCTCGAATAAGCGCCTACCTCGAATAAGCGCCCACTCTCAAGGTCCAAAAATTTAATAAGCGCCCAGGGCGGTTAATCGAATAAGTACGGTATACGTTTATAGAATAAAACACCCACTCTCTTTTTTTAAAAAAAAGATATCGAAACAAGAAAATCTTCATCGCGTGAATAAGTTATCTGAGCCGCTAGTTTTACATGTAACAGGAATATACTTCAGCTGCAGTCTAAGGTCTCATTTCAGATATATCGTACGAAATTCACGCAACTGCATTTGTGTACATGTGTAAATTGCAAGGTGTATAAGCTAAATTAATGAAATGACCTAAACCGCTAACGATGCATCACTCCATTGACAGGACTGTCATTTGTGCGGGTTTCTATCTTTCCTGAGAAATGTAACACTATGTTTCTTTCTTCTTCTTCTTCTTTTTTTTTTTTCTTCATTGTCCATTGTCTTCGATTCATCGATTCAATTCAGACCATGTTCCGAAGCAGTTCCTTTTCCGCGTGTTCTCGAAGAGGAAATTTACAGCAACATAAATTACGTGACTGAGTCAAAAGCCGCAGCAGATCCAAAGGGGCAGTTGGAAAACATGGACTGGACTCTGGACTGGACTCTGGACTGGACTTTGGGCTGCACTTTGGACTGGACTTTGGACTCGATTTTTTTTACTTTTTTTTGGTTTCTTTATTTGTTTGCGAAAATCGTTTTCTTTCGACAATGTTATGTGGGTGGCTACACGTAGGTCACATTCCTGTCATTTCTCATTATCGCCTAACTTTGTTGACCTTTGTTTTTTCCCCACGATGTCTCCTAGTGGGGAGGAGCGTTGCGTGACGAGACAAGTAACGGCTGCGTAGGAGACTACACGATGGGAAAATAATGTCGACAAATCAGGCTGCCCAGATCCGACAATTCGTATGTTTATCTTCGCAATGATTGCTGGTTTTCACTGTGATTTTCACTGTGGTTTTCACAACATGGGGTTTAAAAATTGTCATGTAAACTTTAAGCGAGTCTTTAGTTTGACATACATATTCCATTACACACCAAGTGATTGGCCGCTACCTGGACGCGATTTCCGGTGTCGGTTATCAAAACTCCTTTCATTGTGAAACAGCATAATTATTTGCATGCGCTTTCCATTGCAACTTCTTTCGAAAATATGGATTCCTCAAACAAAACGTTCGCTGATGCGGTAAGAGGACAATGTGAAGAATCAAACAGTTGGTGGAGGAGTTATCAAGTGGAGGACGAGGAGGAGGCAATGGTTATTGCCATGGAAAAATCCCGCAAAATTGTAAAGGTATTTATTGTCTCATTCTGTTTGGTGCGTAATGTTGGGGTAAATCCAGAGATTTGGAATCTGTTGTGTTAAGAAAGTTATACAGACTGACCATAGAAAATAATACTGTGATCCCTCTGTAGGTGGATAGTTCAAGCGATGACGAAGCAGTTGAAATGACAACACCAGGATTCCCCCGCATGTTTAAAAAGGAGGGCAAGCGTCAGGTAAGCGTTTTCTTTCTGTTAGGGAGTGGTTAAAGGTTCGTGACAGGCCTACACAGACGTTTACCTCATGTTTATAATGCCATTTGCTCCTTCTATATCTTTTGAACGGGTATCGTAGTCGTACATTTAGTTTGTTATGGAGGATTTTAGTGTCGACTGAGTATTAAACCTTTCAAATGCCGCGTGTTAAGGACTAGAGGTCAAGTCTGTTTGTTATGGTTTCCCGTGGAGTTTGCTGTTGTAGCTTTTGACCTCTTTTAAGCGTCCTATTTTGCCTGACGGCTGTGTTTTTGACGCCGTTATCTGGCATGTTGTTTTTTATGTAAGAAAGTTTTTAACTTTTTTAGCTTTTCTCTCTGAAATGACAAGATCTGAAATTATGTTGTATCTTTCCTGCTATATTTGTCACGCTGGGCCCAGCTATTTTAGGTTCTCGTTGTTGCAGGATATTTGACGTTTGTAGATCAAAGTTTAGCAGAGAGCGTTGAAGCTTTAAAATAAAGCTATTCAACTTTCACAAAGTTGAAGTTTGTCTCAGTAAAGGCTGTGATGTTAGCATCCATTCGCTACGCTTTATAGCTGCGTGGAGCTCGTTGAATTCCTCCGTTGTCAATTTCGACAGTCAAGTGACTGTTCTGTTATTTATGCCGCTATTTCAGGTGTCCGACAATACACCCCCCCTTCTCCCCCACCTTCCACCTTCTCCCGACACCCGTTTAACGTTTGCATGTTAAACGGTTAAATTTGTAATTGAATTTTTTTAAATTTATTTTTTGTTATTTATTTATTCATTTTGTTATTCATTTTGTTATTTTCATTTATTTTGTTACCCTCGACATGGACCCTCGCAAGGCTCGCGCGAGAAAACTTCCGGTATCTGGGGTACGAAGTGTCAGCTCAATGATCAACATCCTGTTTTGGTCTTGAGTATTTAGTCTAGAATGCGAGCAGTCTCGTAATTTTTCTTCTGGGTCGCGCGCTTCCTCGCCTACTAACTAAAAGAAAAATAAGAGAGTAGTCGCAGACGTTAGATGGAACAGGTAGTTTATTTGCGAGATTTTCGCAGTAAAATGAAGAAACTTCTCGTAAAATCTCGCAAGACAACCATATGTCTCGCAGTATACTGCTTGCGTTCTGTTTCTCTCTCTGATTAATTATTACTTATTATAAAAAGAAAATAAGAATAGGGTCATCCATAGGGTAGCACATAGCGTGGACCATGGGCTAGCCTATAGACCATGGCCCTGGCATGGAGTGCTTAGCGCAGTGGTCATGCGTTCCCACTGTCAGGTTTCCTACCCGGGGGGGGGGGGGGACTCCCATATAAAAATGACGGTAAAAGGTACGACGAGCACCCCCCTCATTTTTATATGGGAGTCCCCCCCCGGGGGGGGGTTTCATATTCTACGGTTTTCCATGGCATACAGCAAACAAAAACTATTTTACTAAAGTGTTCCTTTTCCTTGTGACAGAAGACAAATAAACCGCACCAATTTGAGTCCTGGGAGGAAGAGGAGTATTCCCCCGGAGTTCCACTCCTTCCTATTGGAGGCTACCACTACAAAGACAACAAAAAGGTACGAGAAAGAAAACCGTAAACATAGAAAGAAAACAACAACAACAAAAAGGTTTCAGGCCAAAGACGAAGAGGAGGAGATGATGAAACAAAACCAACAAAACCCCCTTGGGGCGGCTGGTACGTGCAAGAAACTGGGTCTATCTTTTTGTCGAGGGTCGTATTTCTTGCCCGACCATCTCATCGCTGTTCGTGAATAAAAGCTACCCTTTTCGATTTTAATAGGAAATAATCGCTGAAGCCGTTGTGAAAGTTAGTTTTTTGCTGCAGACACTTCTGATTTCTGTTTGAAATGCACATTAGTGTACAAAATTAGTTTCGCTACATGACTTCCTATTTAATATCCCACATCAACTGCGCCGATAAGTGTTGGTTTTTGGTCGTGTTTCAGGGTGTTTCAGGTTTCTGCAGTGATATAATTTGAGGTTTTGCTGCAGAACGTTGTAGCATCAACCATCTAATATCACTCTACGTACCTAGGTCACGATTTCCGGTGTCAGTGATTATCGATGACTTGTCTTTTAGAATTTCATGGTGCGTTTCTGCTTCATTGAAACCGGGGGGGGCACTTGGGTATCTTTTGGGTGGGTATGTGCCGCCCAGGACTCCAAATTGGCACCCCGTTCTAAAAAAAATTTTCCCCTAAAATTGATACCCCGTTCTAGAATTCGCCCTAAAACTGATACCCCGTTCTAGAAATGGGCCAATTTTTTATACTCCGTTCTAGGGTGCAACAAGAGTACAACGGTTTGATGTCCTTGAATACTTTCAAATGGCTGCTTACAAAGGTGGATCGAGCTTTCGTGCGTTCGAAATATTATACCCCGTTCTAGAAAACGCGTCTGAAATGGATACCCCGTTCTAAATCAGGAGCTTGAAAATGACGACCCCTTTGGGCGGCACATACCCTTATAGGTAATGCATGGGAGTACCCCCCCCCCCGGGCATTGAAAGCAGGACAATTCGGTGGCATACAGTGGAATAGCTTAAAAAACAAGAATCGGTGAAATATACATATTCAAACTACCGCACTGAATAGCCATGCAAGGCAGAGAGGAGGCTAGAAAAAAAAATACACCCCTTAAAAAACCAGTCCAGTCCAGTCCAGAGTCCAGTCCAGAGTCCAGTCCAGAGTCCAGTCCAGAGTCCAGTCCAGGTTTTCCATCTGGCCGATCCAAAGATCACGTATCATTAGTCAGTCACCAGGAGCTTAAGTGACAGGGCGCGAATTTTCGTGCAATCAGGATCGATGATGTTGCCGATAAAGACACTTGAATACCGTTTGTATTCATCTTTTGTTCCAACCGTCCTCCACGAAGGTTGTACTAACATTAAGCGCCGTAAATTTGAAGATTTTAACTCAAAGTCTTCATTGATTTCAAGTTAACAAGGGTGTAGGGCCGATTGTTAGAGCAAAGGATGATGGAGGCTCCAAATGACTGCTAAGAAGAGAGCAAAAACCATGCATTCAAACATGTTCAAAGATTACGACGGCGCATTTCGCATTTCGAGGTGAGTATACTTTCCGTAATTTCTGAGTTTTATGTTAAAACTATAGTCTGGCCCTAGATTTCTTGAGGCTTTTGAAGTATTGTTTTACCGTACTGCAACACCTTGAGCGGTTTTCCTACTGTGGGAGAGCGCGATGCGATATGAAAAGCGCATATGTTTGGTGTTTAGCTTTGAAATCTCGAAATTAAGATAACCTCGCTATTTCGCCTCAAATTTTTGTTTAGGCTTGTTAGGAGAACAGCCTGAGAGGAGACAGATATATACGACTAACATTAGAAATATAAATACTGGATATAAGCTGACTGAAATGTTTTGTGAATATTGCCGTTGGTTGTTCGTTTGCTTTTAACCGCCAAAAGGTCGCGTGACATGACGTCAACAGCGAAGACTGCATTGTATCACCTTGTTGTTTTTGCAGACACAAATTGAAGCTTAAATATTTATAGCGAATACAATTACTTTTAATTCGAGTGGTTTTGCTCTTTGCAAACAAAAGACGTGTATTACAAGCGTACCACCTGAACTCGGGGGATCGTGATGTCACGCGCAACATTTGATTCCATACATTTACTATTCAAATGATCGGTACAAATGCTTCATAAAACACAGAATTTTGCACCTTTTGATCCCAAATGTTGATATAATGTAAGTTATCTTTATTTATTTTTCTTACATTATACCTAGTGGCTATTCGTACCGGACCCGTACATCGACTTGTATTTGCTATTTATACGGGATTCTGAGTAAATTGATTAGGGTTAAGCACTAACAAGGGTTAAGCAATGAAAATAGTGATTAGGGCTAAGCACTGACCATGCTGATTAGGGTTAAGCACTGACTCGAAACGGTTAGCTTCTATTTAGGGTTACGGTTGTTGCTATATGAATGAAAATGAAACTCCATCTAGCAGAGAGTATCCCGTGGTAGAGTGGTTAGGCCACATACTAAATTCTACGTCCTGGGATCGGTTCTCAATCCATATCTTACCCCATCGAATTTGTTTTTCCTTTTAGAATTTGCCACTGAATTTTTTTTTCCTTAAAAATTGAACGTTTGTTGAAAAGACTTACACTTTCATGGAAATTTAATGACCAGAAATTTCAAGAGACTTAGAAATTTCATATAAATTTCAAGAAGACACTTGATCCCGTATGAATAGCAAATACACTTTGGTGTGCGGGTCACGCACGAATAGCCACTGGGTACATTATATCAACATTTGGGATCAAAAGGTGCAAAATTCTGTGTTTTATGAAGCATTTCTACCGATCACTTGAATCAAGCCGAGTGCGGGCATTACAAAATACAGTAAATATACGGGATCACATGTTGCGCGTGACATCACGATCCCTCGAACAGTTCGGATGGTCTACCTGTGGTAATACGTAGAAAAAAGTGTACACTTTTCAAATATGAACAGAAGTATCAATGATATGTAGAATAGAGATAAATCCAAACCAGAAAAATATATTAAGCTTGTCCAATTTTTATATGTGATTTCGCATACAAAAACGTGTAATTGCACGAGACTTAAAAAGGCTTAATATCATTTTCATTACTTTACCTGTGTTTTGTTTTCATCATGGCTCTGGTCCACCGGCGAGGTGGTTATGTGAGGTGGTCATGCCAGCCTTTGATTAACGACTCAGTCAGGTGGTTTTGCCCGCTTGTTTCCAGGGGACTCATGGATTGGAATAAAACGTGTTTTTCGAGTAATTTTGTGATCAGATATCTGAATTGAATCTGAAGCTTTCGTTTCAATACCAAGTTATAAAGTCGTATAGCTGTGTTTTGTTTTCATCCTGGCTCTGGTCAACCGGCCAGGCAGTTATGTAAGGTGGTTATGCCCGCCTTTGACTAACGACTCAGTCAGGTGGTTTTGCCCGCCTGTTACTGGGGGTCTTGGACTGGACTAAAACATGTTTTTTGAGTAATTTTGTGATCGGATATCTGAATTGTATAGTAAAGCGTTCGTTTTGATACCAAGTTATAAAATCTTATAGTGTGTTTTGTTTTCATCATGGCCCTGGTCCTCCGGCCAGGCAGTTATGTAAGGTGGTTATGCCCGCCTTTGACTAATGACTCAGTCAGGTGATTTTGCCCGCCTGTTACTGGGGGTCATGGATTGGAATAAAACATGTTTTTTGAGTAACTTTGTGATCGGATATCTGAATTGTATACCAGTGAAGCTTTTGTTTCGTTACCAAGTTATAAAGTCTAATAGTGTGTTTTGTTTTCATCATGGCCCTGGTCCTCCAGCCAGGCAGTTATGTAAGGTGGTTATGCCCGCCTTTGACTAATGACTCAGTCAGGTGGTTTTGCCCGCCTGTTACTGGGGGTCATGAATTGGAATAAAACATGTTTTTTGAGTAATTTTGTGATCGGATATCTGAATTGTATACCAGTGAAGCTTTTGTTTCGTTACCAAGTTATAAAGTCTAATAGTGTGTTTTGTTTTCATCATGGCCCTGGTCCTCCGGCCAGGCAGTTTGTAAGGTGGTTATGCCCGCCTTTGACTAACGACTCAGTCAGGTGGTTTTGCCCGCCTGTTACTGGGGGTCATGGATTGGAATAAAACATGTTTTTTGAGTAATTTTGTGATCGGATATCTGAATTGTATACCAGTGAAGCTTTTGTTTCGTTACCAAGTTATAAAGTCTAATAGTGTGTTTTGTTTTCATCATGGCTCTGGTCCACCGGCCAGGCAGTTATGCAAGGTGGTAATTTTCATGCCCTCCTTTGACTTATGACTCAGTCAGGTGGTTTGGCTCCCCTATAGTGTTACTGGGGGTCATGGATGGAATAACAAATGTTTTGAGTTATTTTAATTTGTGATTTGATATCTGAATTGAATATCTGAAGCTGTGTTTTGTTTTGTAGAGGAGGAAAAATGTACTTGATTGTTAAGACTTTTTACATCTTAAACCTAATATGTGATTATTTTGTAAATGAAATTTAATTTAAGTAGTTTACCTTAACCATGTTTGTCAAGAGAGCATTATTGTGTTACTTCAATTAGAAGGAACTCTAAAACACTCGGTCCAATTTTCAACCCTCATGACCGATAAAATAAATTAAGAACACTTTAATATCGACTAAACCAAGTCTTGTTTTTTTTTTTTTTTTTCAATTTCGTTTGTCACGCAGGTTGCAGCCACAAGAGGACAATATCTAGAAGAAGCAAAAAAGATGCACGGCCATCCATTTTTACTGTGGGAAAGGCATTACACCATGACTGGAAAAAAACTAATAATTGGAGAGGAAGATGTCCTGCTAACTATCTTTGCCGGTACCACCTTGCAGCTCAAACCTTGAACCTCATCCGGGTCAGACCTAAGCACTGATTTGTGATAGGACAGTATGCATCACTCCTGCCTAAGCAGTTAGACAGTACGCACCATGGCTTGCACACTTGACCTTTCATTTTTACTTATTGCTAGAAGTCTAGCTGCTTATTCAGTGATTAAAAATGTGATTTGCTATATTTTTCAAATGCGTAATTTTTGCCTAATACTATAAATTGATGTAATATTACTTTTCTGTTAATGTTTTATTACCCCTATGGGAAGTGCAATTTTACACTTGACCAAGGTGTAAACCATTCACAGTTACACTGTTTGGTGTGTAAATGAACCTTCTGGTTGCGTGTCAAATTACACTATTGGACAATGTGTAATAATACACACAAAAAAAGGGCTGCCGGGGCTGGCAAAGCTACTACACTATCATTCGGTGTAATATTACTCTTCTATTAGTATTTTATTACACTTATAAGAACTGCAATTTTACACTTGACCAAAGTGTAAACCACTCACATTACACTGATTGGTGTGTAAATATAACCTCTAGTTGTGTGTTAAATTACACTATTATAAAATGTGTAATAATACACAGAAAAAAAAGGCTGCCGGGGCTGGCAAAGCTACTACACTATCATTCAGTGTAATATTACTCTTCTATTAGTATTTTATTACACTTATAAGAACTGCAATTTTACACTTGACCAAAGTGTAAACCACTCACATTACACTGACTGGTGTGTAAATATAACCTCTAGTTGTGTGTTAAATTACACTATTATAAAATGTGTAATAATACACAGAAAAAAAAGGCTGCCGGGGCTGGCAAAGATTTTACACTTTTTTTTGGAGTAATATTACACTTTAATTTTAAGTGTGTACAGTTAAGTGACCCCTTCTTTACTGAACGAAGCTTTTCCACAACAGACTGCCAGTTGTCAGGAATCTCTCCACGAAGAGTCAATGCTAAATCACTTAAAGAACGATTTTCTAGAAGACTGTTTTGAAGAGCATTCACATTAGAGAGACTAAGGTTGCCGTCAACGCTAAAAGCGAATGACTTGAGGGCGGTTTGTTGCGCAATTCCTCTGCTAATAACAGCAGTTACCAATACCTGCACATCTCCAGAGATATTAAGGGAAAATGAGGCCAACGCTTTATTTGATAAAAGCTTTCTTAAACCATGGACCGCAGTATCACTCAATGATCCACGAACCTGGAGGTCCACAGAATTCAAAGGAGTGTCCACAAACAAAGCTGGTTCAATAGCACTGGCCCAAGTCTCACCCCACACTCTGTCAAGTTGAAACGTTACTTTTCTCAAGGATCTGCGAGCAGCTAATAATTCACCGATTAAAACAGCTGCGTTGCAAGGGATATTGTCGGATATTTGCAGGGTAAACTGTGATAAAGTATTGTTTCCAAATAAGCCATCGTTTAGCGCGTTGGCTAGGTTTAATGTAATTGTAGGGGTGAAAAGGTTAAGTTTCTGTGTCTTTGGGCAGGATTGTACGTACCCTGCAATTCTCTGATAGCCAAATATGTCATGTTTTCTGGCACGAATGGTGAGATTAACAGGCTTCTGTAAATTACAAAAACTTTTGCATGCCTCTAAAACGTGAAATATATTGCACGTCATTTCATTGGAGAGGTCAGCATCAACTTGCGGTGGGAAGGGTATATAGGAACAAAGAGTAACTGCCATTTTTTCAGCATGTCCACTTTCATTGAAGCTTTCAGTAAGAAAAGTTGCTGTTGCTAAACCAGGGTTTAAAAGTTCATCCCGACGAGGAAAAACAGTAATACCAGCAATATCACGCGTGTTCAGGACCCTGCACTCGCTCCAGTTCCATCCTCCCCGGTTCTTCAGCTCTTCACCTATATGGGCGAATAGAACGCTGGCTTCCATCCCCAGTATACCAGACACAAAAAGAAACACTTGACGATATTTATGCACCAAATCATCAAAGCTCAAACGTTCAAACAAATTCAATTGATTTCTTCGCAATTTGTGCGCAACATATGCCGCAGCCAAGTACTCTTGGAAGGTTTTGTGAAGAAAGTAGTACTCATGTTGAGGTTTTAACCTCTTCAGACTTTCTTCCTTGTAAACTAGGCCTATGTGACGGGATACCAATCCTTTGTATCTTCTTTCAAGCTCTGCTAATTCATTTTCACGGAAACCATGACGATCACTCAGCAGGCACATCCAAGCTAGCTCTCCTAGCGCAAGTATGTCCTTCTCAAAATACCTCTCTAGGTCGTCGTCACCTTCGGGGGCTTGCAGGTTGTGTTTAGCGCAGTATCGTCTTAAAAGGCAAAGGACAATAACTTGATAAAGCCTAGAACGGGATGATGGCAGCTTTCCCTCATAATCCTCATAGATTACACAGAGAAGGAGTAAATTAAGGGGGTTGCTTCGGAGAGCATGCAAAAACTCGTTGTCTTTTATTTCTGTTATGAGTCTCTCTCCCTTTGGTGAATGTCCTCGACCAATATTTGCGAAATGTTTTCTGATATATTCAAAAGCATCGCCTTCTGTGAATCCTTTGATCTCCAAATGAATGTCAAAGACAAATCTCTTTCGTACATCAATACCTATTTCTTGTCGCGAAGTAGCCAAAACATAACAGAAAGGTAAAATTCTTCGGTGAAGCAGCTCATCCACATGATGCTGGGATTTTTTAGGCAGCTCATCCAAACCATCCAAAATGATTAAAATTTTCTCTTGGTTATGAATGTCCTCCATGAAGTGCAACAATTTCTCTACAGTCTCCTTGTTGATATCTCTGGGCAGAAGTTGTTCCCTTATGGTGTCCATGATATTTCCATCAATGTCACGACATTTGAGGAGCAATACAAATTCAAATTTGGGAAAGGTACACTCCGTTGGGATTTTTCCACGTGCCCAGTCACAAGCAAGTTTGAGGCAAAACGTAGTTTTACCGATTCCTGGACTTCCTTCTACTAGGGTCATAACATCCTCACCTTTTTCAAGGGTCTTGAAGATTTCAAATACGTTGACCTCGTCACGTTCTCTTAGGACGTCTGCATTTCCCCCTTCTGCTGGCGACACGACATCCTCAATTTTATCGGGAACAGTGAAGCTGCCGAACACATTTGCTCTATTTTCGTGCAAGACGTCAGTTAGCGTCATGACATCCTTACCTTTAAAGGGAGCTTTGAAGCTGTTGAAAGCATTCACCTTATCATCTTTGACCTGGATGGCCAATTTTCGTCGTGAAATGATTTTGAGTCTCGTGTAGACATTCTCTAGGGGTAACTCGATGGTGCTGTCCCAAAGAAGAGGTCTTAACTGAGAGCGCCTTTTGTATTCAGCTTTGAGTAATTTCACAACTGAGCTGTCCCATACTGCTGGAAACAATAAGATCAGGAATTTTAAGTCCAAAAAACAAACCTACATGTAAAGGTTTCATACTACAAATGGATTAAGCTTTTCATGTTCGTCTCCCCTCAGTCAGAAGGAAGTCCATTCTAAATTCTCCTATTAAATTATAATATTTGCATGAAGCAACATACAGTTGTAAGCAAGGATAGCTCTTTCCACAGGTACCTCATTTTGGAAATTCTGACCAATCCTGACAAAAATATTATACACAAAGAACCAAGTAACATTTTTTGGGAGAAATCCATCTACTCTTTTCAGATTAAATTTGTCTCTTTTGTGGAAAGTTAGCCAGCCACAATTCCATGCGAAAAAAAAGACGATATGGTGGGCAAGGAAGCTGGCTATGTAAATGAAAGACAAAGGGAAAATAAAAAAGAGAAGGATCGAAATAGATCTGCAACTACTTGCAGGCCAACGCCTAATGGTTAAGACCCTGTGTAGTTTGCGAGAATTTAGCTTAGGTGATCTAAAACACCACCACTGTATTTCGTCAGGTATGCAGGTTATGAAGCCGCGCTCAGGAAACGTAAGACCGACGACGCAAGGCCCTAATATGCTGTATCGAGAAAGTTTATTATACTCTCTCATATGCATGCAATAAAATACTAACCCTTACTCTAAATAATGAAAAGAAAAACTTCACCTTTATCTCTCACTAGTCTCAGATGTTTTGGAGCTGGAGTATTACTTGAAGATAATGGCCTTTTGGCTTTTTTTGAAGACTTGGATCTCTTTGCTGTGCCTGAAACTAAATCCAGCAAATACCAACATAATTAGGCTTTTGTCTAAATAACTGTCCCGAAGATAATTTACCAATTAATCAATCTTTAAATTATTTTTTTAACCCGTCGGTAACGCCATGATTAAAGAAGTTTTTCACAAATGTAAATGGAAGAGTAAATTCAAACAACTGTCTCTGCCATGTTCATCTGCACACTCACACACACACACACACACACACACAAAACACACTTACAGAGTCCCTACACTCTTGGCGCGCAATGCCGCTGAGCATACACACCACAGTCTTACCAACATATTCTTATCGCTACATACCAGAAGAAACGAAGCGATCTGCCATTTTTGAGCCTGAGCGATCACAAGAAAGGAGAAAAGCGTGGTTCCATATACGCACGCGCAGAATATAATTTGTACCTAAACACAGTTGGACGACAGTGCGCTCGAGCAAACCATTATTTGTAGGCAGTTATTTGCAGGTGACGTTTTGAGCGCACGGCCAATGAAAAGGTAGAAAAATGTTAACCGAGTGATAATACGTCTTAATGTAACAACAGAACGGTGTTACTACAATTGTAATTCGGTTTTAATAATTCGTCGGACTTTATCTGTATGTTTATCAGTCAATACTGACGGATTTTGAAGACAGATTGTGGTTCCAGAAAATATCCATACCCTCCCCCCCCAAGGAGGGCATTTTTGCTTTAGATCCTCCCAGCCCCCCTGGAATGGTGCTTGAAATACCCCCCACCACCCCTGGAATTTCCGTAATTTTTCAACTTGATTGGGTACCCGGGACGGCGCTGACCTGGACACTACTTTTGCCAGTTTGAAAAGTGTTTACCTCAACCCGAAATCAAATGTACGTGTAGGATACATCTAGAAATCCGCTTCAATCTTGCCTAGTGTTTCATTCGATCCTCGATCTTTTACAGAAAACCTCTTTTTGAGCAAACTTTTACTTATCCTATGCAGGAGATAGGCTCCTGTCCTATGACATTATTTTATTGTCCCCGCAGGGATTTCGCCCAGAAGACAAAATCCAGAGGAGGCACTCTAGTAACTCGTGCGTATATTAAGGAAAGTACTTACAGTTGAAATATACAGTCATACAGTCAATATAGAAAAAATCTCGATTTGCTTGAACAGGGGCCGCGAGGAATCGAACCTTGCCAGACACACTTTCTCTCTCTTTCACCGGAATAAGACTCGGCCCAAAACAAGCAAGACGATTGAATGATTCAGCGGCTAGCTTATCACTAGCAGAACGATGGACGATTACAGAAATTCGCCGACCATCAAATTCTGTGCTGACTTATTCCCTGCTCACAGATGTCCTTCCGGTATAGAGTTTAAAATAAGACTAGAATGCGCGAGCGTGAATTGATCAAACATCCTTTTTATTTCTAAGGCTTACTTTCTGCCAAATGAAATGAACTAAATGTAAAAAGTGAAATAGAAATAGCGAAAAATTCAACTTCTAATTAAATCTTTTCTTATGGTTTTGAATAAACTATTCTCGAAACTGAGAATGTTTTGATCAAAGCTGCATAAATTACGTTAAATTGAACCGAAACTGTGCATGGAACCTTGCGTTTATTTCCTGTATTTATCTCACCTATTGTTTGGAATATGTGTGAACATCTTCATTATGAATCGGTATATTTCAAAGAGCAACACAAGGAGCAAGAATACTATATACAGAGCGGGGGCAGCTGTAGTGTCAACTATTACTAGTCATATTTGGTTAAAACAGTATCCAAAGGAACATGAACAGAAGAGGTGAGAACCAAAATAACAAAAGAAATGAAACAATAACATTGGCGAGGAAATAATCGTTACATATATTTGGAAAATCGATGGAAAAGGTTACATATGTTTGGAAAATCAAGCTTTCTCGACCTTGAACCTTTGACAAAGATTCCTGCAGACTCCGTGTCATTGCTCACCTCTACTGATGATCAAATTTTGGCTTTCCCTGGACAAATTCATCGCTGAATTCGCAAAAATATATATATAAAAAAAATAGTGCTCTGATATGGCATGGGATCTATAATCACGATCGCTGCTTGTAACTAGTTCAACTCTTGATAGTAGTCTGTAGAATACGTAATACACGTCGCAGAGTCCCTGTCGATTTGATGTTTCGTCTGTAAATGGTGTTCAGCAATGTGATTGTCGACGTCACCATTCCTCGTCGCTCGTTTGTGTTCAGTCAGTCGCGTACTAAGGTTTCTGCCGGTTTCACCAACGTAAGTAGCCTGGCAGTCGCAGCATTTGACTTTGTATGCTGCTCCCTGTCTGTCCTCCGGTTTGTCTTTGTCCTTGACATTAGTCATAATACTTGCATTGAAACACCGGAAATAGTAAAATAACTGATAGTCTGCTAAACAGAGAAGCTGTTATTTATCAGTAACTCACCGACCTTACTCAGAACCTCTGGAAAAGAACCTATGTAAGCAACCCCCACCCCCTCGGAAATTACTTCCTTTTGGACCCCCTCCCCTCGGAATTTCCATTGCCCTCCGTGGTAGGGATGGATATTTTTTGGAACTACACATTATACGTACGCCTCAGATAGGTAATCTGTCTCTAGTGTGAAAACGGCCATTTTGGTATGAATAAAATATTCGAACTCCAGCATACAAAACCAAACTTAACAATGGCTACTATTACACAACGCAACCCTAAATTGTTCACACAAAAAAAACCTAATGAGATCTTACTGTGTAAGAACGTGACCAGCGTTTGTCCGTTCCGGATCAAATTTGAATTTGCTGGTTTTTGACGATGAAAGAAAAACCTGGGTAACCGGAGAAAAACCTTTCGGAGAAAAGAAGAGAACAAAAAACTTAACTTAAACCACATACGGTAACAATAACCGCCAAAAATATTGAAAAAAGGTTGAAACAGGCCACAGCAAATAAAAGAGAAGGCACAGATAAGAAAAACTGAAAAACGTTCAATTTTTCAAGTTTATCCCCTTTTCGATAGTAAATTTAGATCAGTATAAAAAATGATCTGCAAACATACTTGCTTATGCGAATAAAAAACTCCTATTTTTTGCCATTCCCGGTGAATCCAGTTATTCCACATTGAGTACTCAATAAGATTTCCTCTCATATGAATATAATGTTCGTTTTTGTAAGATTGAAGGAAAGTGTACCTTTACGTAGAAGGTTTCCAGAAAGAGAGGGTTTTTCATCCTGATAGATCACAGTGGCTTTCTTAGATAAATTCTGCTCATCTGCCGTGGTATCTACAAAAAAACCACAATTCTTAAGCCCGTTGACTTAAACAGGGTTTAACCAATCCGCTCAATTAGTCAAATGGAGACAAGCGTTTCTAGTGGAAGGATCGCTATCAAGCAAGTCGTCGCAAAATTTTTTAAGGCGATTGAGATGATCCTGCGTGTGGTTGGACGATTCCAATGGCCTAAATCGAGTTGTTCGAGAGACGACGGATTAGCACCGATTGGCACAAAGGATGTTTCAATCGACTCCACCGCGAAGAAAACTGAAGTATATGCATATATCTTTATGTATGCTTGTTCAACTCCTATGTAATCGCCTGGACCTAAACGCTCTCGGCCAAAAACTTGCTTGAGGCGACGAAGATAATTCGAAAAATTCTAGGGAAAATGCATGATTTTCGAAACCGCCACGACTAAAAAAGGAAAAAGTTTCACTGGTGAAAAATTCTGACCAAACAACAACTCCGTGCATTTCTTTGCCCTTTCTTAATTCAAACTTTTGTTCAAACACATGAGAGCGAAATTTTCCGTTCTGTTTTTACTAAAGTCAACTCCAGGAAAATTCACATGCACGGATTAACAAATTTGCAAGTTGGCAAAATTGCGATGAAATTTGAATGATCGTGAATTAATCCTACATAACTCACTGTGTTACTCAGGTTTTCAATACGTGTACTAGTTACATTGTACATGTAGTTGCGTAACTTCGTAAATTTCCAAACGCAGCAGTTAACAGCATAAAATCAACTTAAAAAACAATTGTGAACACATTACATGCATGTAAAATGTGCAGAAAGTACCTTCAGAAATGGTTAACATTTGTTCCACAAGTCTATAACAGTCATCTCGCCAGTTGTGCTTTTTAGCGTATTTTTTACGGAGGGTTTTACACTCGTCAAGTCGCATCTCTCTGTCTTTTTGACGAACAGCTTTGATTGCATTGGCCCAATCTTTAGGATTTTCCGACTCCACAACACAGTTTGAACCAAACGAAACTTTCTTCAAAGCCTCGCCAAGACCAGAGTTCCCACTGACCAACACAGGCAGACCAGCTGATAAAGCCTCAAGGGCAACTAGACCGAAGCCCTCAGTTCGTGATGGCATTATAGCAAGATCTACCTCACAAAACAACTGGGCTAGCTTCTCTCTGCTTTCATTGAAACGACGCACCCTCAGTTGACTGCGATCAATGCCTTGCTTGAGAAGCAGGTCGGCTACTTTATCTTCTTCTCCCCGTGTTGCTCCAACAAACACAAGTTTGTAGGTCATGTCTTTCAACTCAGCAATGGCTTGGGCAGCGATATCATACCCCTTCAGCTGAAAATCTTCACTGTCACCACGTCCAAACACTAAAACGCTAAATGAACCTATTTCTTGAGAGGCTTGCTTCACATCAGCAAACTCAGAGAAAATGCCTGGGGTAAGATTGAGAACATCTTGATCCTTTCCAAAGGGACGTAGATAACCTGAAAAAACTTCAGCGAGCTTGGGTCCAACTGCTACAACTTGATCAGCCAATTTACAGAGTTCAACCTCCACTTGGTGTTTCTCTTCACCTTGAGAAATGCGTTCTTCATATCCTTTGTACATTCCAAGTTCTTCTGGAGCAGTATGAACAACCTGAATCCACTTGCAGAAAGGATGAGTTCGCTTGATAAACTGAACTTGCCGACCAAGAACAGCCCCATGTCCTATCACACAGTCCACAGCATGGTCTTCTGGCAGACAAGACAACCAGAAATTTGGTTCTAAGCCTGGCATTTCTCTTGCTTTAATGAGGCGGACATTGTGATCTCTTGCAACTTGTTTATCCTCTTCACTACACTGAGGAAGATAAACACTGACCTCCACGCTGGGGTGTTTTGCCAACTGAATGGCCAGCTCTCGGTTGATGGTTGACAAGCCTCCTTTTGTTGATCTCCATTCACTGCTTAACAGAGTTACTCTCAATTTCCTGGAGGACGTGGATCCTGAATTGCTTTCATGGTCTTCCTGTGATGTAGAGGCTGTGCTAGGAAAGGACGTCAAATCCTAAAAGAAGAGAAACATTATAAATTTACTAGAGGTTTTCCTTAAAAGACGTGTTACTAAGTTCATACAAACCGTAAGTTAGAAGAATCGAGTATTGTCTTTTGGGTAAATTTGACTGAGATGAGAAACTTTACTTACTTTTTAGCATCTGCTTAGACTGAGTACCACACTGAGAGGTGAGGATCATTGACATACTTGTGTATTATTTATCCATTTAATTTCTTGTGACTGGAAGGATCAGCAAGCTTAGTGGTTCACTAACTCAACATTCCAAAAGAGGTACAAGCCAGAGGGACTGCACCGCAAGAGATTACAGTATCTTGATGGGGGAAGCATGAAGCACCAAGGAGTGAATATTACAACTCCTGACCCCCTCCCCCCATGGATGGCAGAGGTACTTAAAACAAGCGAGAAGGCCTACAAAGTGAGAGTTTATCTTGGTTGGAAGCACCATGAAGCACCAAGGGGTGAATATTTGAACTCCACCCCCTCCCCCCATGGATAGGAAAGGTAATTAAAACAGCCAAGAGGGCCTGCACAATGAGAGTTTATCTTGGTTGGAAGCACCATGAAGCACCAAGGGGTGAATATTACAACTCCACCCCCTCCCCCCATGGATAGGAGAAGTTCTTAAAACAAGCCAGAGGGCCTACACAGTGAGAGCTTATCTTGGTTGGAAGAACCATTAAGCACTATGGAGTGAGTATTACAACTCCACCCCTTCCGCCCTTGGATGGGAGAGGTACTTAAAACAAGCCAGAGGGCCTACTGAGTGAGGGCTTATCTTGGTTGAAAGAACCATTAAGCACTATGGAGTGAATATTACAACTCCACCCCTTCCGCCCTTGGATGGGAGAGGTACTTAAAACAAGCCAGAGGGCCTGCACAGTGAGGGCTTATCTTGGTTGGAAGCACCATGAAGCACCATGGGGTGAATGTTACAACTCCACCCCCTCCCCCCATGGATGGGAGAGGTACTTAAAACAAGCCAGAGGGCCTACACAGTGAGAGCTTATCTTGGTTGGAAGCACCATGAAGCACCATGGGGTGAATGTTACAACTCCACCCCCTCCCCCCATGGATGGGAGAGGTACTTAAAACAAGCCAGAGGGCCTGCACAGTGAGGGCTTATCTTGGTTAGAAGCACCATGAAGCACCATGGGGTGAATGTTACAACTCCACCCCCTCCCCCCATGGATGAGAGAGGTACTTAAAAGAGGGCCTGCACAGTGACAGCTTATCATCATCATCATCATCATCATGTTTATTTATACATGGTAAAAACATCAGGCTAATTAACAATTATTCCTTGAGCCCGAATGGGCTCTGAGTCAATAGCCCATGAGGCCCAACACCGTATGGGCTATTGACTCAGAGACCATTAGGAAGAGAGGAATAATTGTTTTAGTAAAATCCAACTAGTTGGTCACAAATATCGAGACAAAACAACTTAAGCTAGTTAAAGCTAGACTTTAATCCTTTTTTGCTACCAAAAAGCCGGCACGTTTCACTACTAGTGGACTATAACATATAGCCTAGTAGTAGCTCAACCAATCAGAACACAGCATTGATAATAGACCACTGGTTGGATTTTACTAATTACACACAATATCCTAAAAGTTACAAACTATTGACTACCGGTAAACAGTAATAGCACTTCCAAATGAATGTTGAAATAAACAAATAAATAAAATTAATTTATAAAATTAAGGCCTGTTTTCCATGAATGCTGTGTTCCAGCTAGAAGTTACCAGTTTCCAAAAGCAAGTAAAGATTTTGCTTGTCTTACATCAGTGGGCAAATTGTTCCACAGAACAGCCCCGCTGTGGCAAAAGCTATTTCTATACTAGAAGTTCTCATTGAGAAGGGAAATGCTGCCGTTAGTTACGATGAGAATAGGACAAAGACAGTTTGTAGAACAGTTGAACATATGAATTCTTTCTTATTAAAGTCAATAACTTAGACTTGCTGGCATTATGAAACCCTCAGAGCGTAATATAAAAAATGAACCGATCACGATGGCAAATATGCTTACATTCATACAACTCGCTAAGGTTTCAATACCATTTTGTAATTCATTTTAATAATTCACGAAATTCTAAAACAACAGCAGTGCTGATAGGCTGTTTCTTCATCGAACAATCATGGTACACAGGATCGATGAGATGAGTTGCGAAGGAATAACGTAAAGGCCAAAACTTGTTTATTCACAGGTCAGGTAGATGTACAGCACATGCCGTTCACTTATGTAACTTACAATCCTGATTACCGAGATATGCAATTTCCTTAGATAAAGCATCATCATGGTTTTCCCATGTGAGATTTTTGTCAATAAGCACACCAAAAGACTTAAAGCATTGAGAATGTCTGATAGGAATGTTACTTACATTTAAGGAAGGCAGAGAAGGTAGATTATTAAGCTTTTGCCGTCTTGAGCCGATTAACATGAACTCACTTTTAGTCACGTTTAGTGTTACAGTGAAACCTGTAGTAAGCGGACACCCTTGGGGAATGCTGTAGTGTCCGCTTAATACAGGGTGTCCGCCTAAAACAGTTTTCAAAAGAGAACGTCATGTGAGGTGTCAAATGCCATTCAAATGAACAGTGGAAGCGTTTATAATACTCCCAGAGACTATGACGATAGACGTTTGCATTAATTTCCTTATCAAAGTGAACCAATTAATCATAGTACCATAAACATGGATTGCAACTCAAATTTGGAGAAATCAGATGAGCGAAACAAACTCTATACAAACAAAACCAAATAGAAAACAATCCTGTACTTTGAAACTAATCAAATAAGTTGTCAAGTCACGTTTTTTAATGTAAAAATCGAAAAATTTTTGGGTGGCAATTCGAGGCAATCTTTCACATTTCCGATGTCTGGCATGTTGGGTGGTGGAATTTAATTACAAGTGTCCGTTTAATACAGGTTGGCAACAATAGAAATGACCATTTCAGGTACTTTTTAGGTGTCTGCGTCCTCTTAATGAAGGTTTCATTTAAAGTAAAGAAGGGAAATAAATTTGGGGGCTTCGGCTACTGTCCGCTTAATAGAGGGTGTCCGCTTAATATGGTATCCACTTAATACAGGTTTCACTGTAATTTATTTGCAGTAACCAGAACCTTATGTTCAGCAAGTCTTCATTTAGGGAAGACTGAATGGAGTGGATATTACCACTCCAATAAGTCAAATGGGTATCATCTACATACATTCTTGGGTCAGAGTCATTGATATATAGCCAAAAAATAGAGGCCCTAATATTGATCCCTGGAAAATCTGAGGGTGCAAGATTCTGAAAGGGAACCATTGAAAATGCATTTCTGAGTACCATTATCTAAATAGGAGGAGAACCATTCATAGGAAACACCTGAAACACCTGAAGCACCTGAAGCACCTGAAACGCCAAGGAGTGAATATTACAACTCCACACCCTCCCCCCATGGATGGTAGAGGTACTTAAAACAAGCCAGAGGGTCTGCACAGTGAGAGCTTATCTTGGTTGGAAGAACCATGAAGCACCAAGGAATGAATATTACAACTCCACCCCCTCCCCCCATGGATGGGAGAGGTACGAACCACAAGCAAGGGGGTCTGCACACTAAGAGCTTATCTTGGTCGGGGCTTGAAATTAAAAAAATCCTCAGGTGGACCAACTGGAGAAATATAGTCACCAGATGTAAATTTTTAGTCGCCAGTTTGTATAATGTAAATGACGCAGCTCATAGTCAGTTTCACGCCGCGAGATTCACAAAAACACGCAAAATACCCCGAAATTCGGTAGAAATCTTATCAATGTCTGTACGACATATTTGAAACTTTTTTCAGCTATTGGGGCTATTTACTTGCCGTAAACTTGTAAATTTATCTTAAAACTTCGTCACTGAAACGTGCAAACAACGTCCCGAAACTCCGAAACTACCAGGTGTAGATTATGTTGCGAAAAACTGGGAACTAGCCATGATGTTAAAGGCCTTGCCATTGGTTCAGTTCTGGACCATATTGTTGTTGAAACAGCAATGATGACCTCTGTTAGAAAAACATTAAAAACGCTGGTCTGGTCTGATCGATCTCTAACGAAGTTTTCCCTGAAAATAACCACAAAATTGGCCTTTTTTGACCGATTGATTTTTGGCTAAGTTTGCCCCCGAAAATTCCTGCAAAATCGGTCGATTTTTCCGTGAATTTGCCCCTGAAAATCCCACGAAATTTGACTTTTTTTTCCACGACCTATCAGAAGCCCTGCATAGTATGGTGCGATCCATCAGATTTGAAAATATTGTGGATAGAAGTTGGTATAAATTTGGAGGTAAACTGGCTCTGTTTATGCGATTTGCCACATTTTTATGATGAAAGCAAAGCAGGATAAGATGAAATGTTTGTTTTAACTTTACTCTTTTAATTTAAATCTAAATCATAGAGGAATCTGGTCGCCACTTTGGCGACTAAACTAGAATTTTTAGTTGCCAAGAAGAAAATGTTAGCCGCATTGGCGACCGTATCAGTCGCAATTTCGAGCCCTGTTGGTTGGAAGCACCATGAAGCACCATGGGGTGAATATTACAACTCCCCCCCTCCCCCCATGGATGGGAGAGGTACTGAAAACAAGCGAGAGGGCCTGCACAGTGAGAGCTTATCTTGGTTGGAAGCACCATGGAGTGAATATTACAACTCCACCCACCACCCTACCGCTCCTCCCTGCATGGAATGCTAGTCCATCACAGCATTGCCCACCAGTATGTTGCCATTTTAGCACAAAATTAAAGACCTGTGCATGTGTGTGTGTGTGTGTGTGTGTGTGTGTGTGTGTGTGTGGGGGTGGAGGTAATCTAAAAATATATTTTTCTTGTCAAAGGAAATCAAGTGATGGAACAGTGAGGACTCAAATCAGAACCCCCCTGATACGGTGTCTGATGTGATCACCATCCCTCCACCGACATTTTAGAAAAACGTCTCAAACCTCAAATCTTACAACTTGATATTGAAGATACAAAGAAAA